GAAAGAAAGAAAGAAAGAAAGAAAGAAAGAAAGAAAGAAAGAAAGAAAGAAAGAAAGAAAGAAAAGAAAGAAAGAAAGGAGGGAGAAAAGGAAGGAAGGAAGGAAGGAAGGAAGGAAGGAAGGAAGGAAGAAAAAGAAAGAAAGAGAAAGAAAGAAAGAAAGAAAGAAAGAAAGAAAGAAAGAAAGAAAGAAAGAAGTTACATCTGAAGTGGAATGTAGTGTATGAATTATCACCTATATTAACTGTGATTTATGACTTCCCACAGTGATTGAAAACAAGTTCCGTGACATCAAGGTTTATATTTTAGTTGGGATGAAATAACTTAACAGAAAGTCTTTATCTTTCTATAGAGAAAAACAAAAGAAAAAAAAAACTATCATTTTTGTGCTGGAGAACAAAGCATGATCTGTCTTTTCTGACCCTCTCAGCTTATTTCATTATTTAGGTGACCAAGGCTCTTATTTAGTTGACCAAGTGCTAAATTCAGTTTTCTTGTAGGCACTCAGGAGGCAGTTCCCAAATAAACAAAGTACTTTTTAGGTCTAAGTGATTTGGCGTATTAGTTTCTCTTTCATTAAAAACAAGTTCCTTCAGTGTACTGGTGCATAGAGCTGTCCACTTCACGATGGCTAATGTCATTTTTATGTTATGTGTATTTTGCCACAATTTTTAAAAAGGTTACAATGGTAATTTTTATATTATGTATATTTTACAATAAACAAAAGCAAATTCCCTTTTTAAGGAAGACTTGTGTTTCTTATTTTATGTTTTCTCAAAGATGATGCTTTGTAAAAATATTTTTCTGCTTTTTTTAAATACAAAAAAATATTCCTTTTTGGGTCACCTAAAATCATGTGTAAGTACAACATTTTTAGACACACTGGTGCGAGGGCACATGGAGATACAGCTAAGATTGCTGTAGAAATGTACTGTTATTTTTATGGAACCTGTCAGATACTAGAGTGTTTACATTGGTGCCATGAAACAGTATTTACACACTACTTCAGGGAATTCACCCTAAAACAGAGAAGTGCCGTGTTTGAGGAAAATGGATATTTATTGAGTTCTTACTGTGTTACACACTATGGGAGACACTTTTTAAATATTATTTAACCCTCAATATAACCCTATGAAATATTTTTAATTCTCTTTTTTTTAGTTTATTTTTGAGAGAGAACTCAAGTGGGGGAGGGACAGAGAGAGAGGGAGACAATGGAATTGGAAGCAGAGGCCAAGCTCTGAGCTGTCAGTACAGAACCTGACACAGGGCTCAAACCCTCGAACCGCGAGATCATGACCTAAGCTAAAGTCAGATGTTTAACCAACTGAACCACCCAGGTGCCCCGAAATATTTTTGATTTTCTGATTATACTTAGGGGAAGACAGCCTAAGGGAGGTTTGGTAAGGGGCCATGCAGTTGTACAGCTAGGTGGCGGTAGAGTCAGCTTCAGGTATCACTGACTCCAAGCTTTTCCTGCACCACAAATTGCCTAGCCAGGGGCCACAAGGGAGTTAAACAGAAACCAACCTGAGTCCCCTCCCCATCCCTGTACCCCCTTCCTCCCTCCCCTCCTCCACCTCTCCTCACAGAAAACTGCCAGTCAGTCATTAGTGTTTGTTTCTGTTGTTGTTGTTTTAACAGAAGAAAGAATCCATGAAGAAAACACAAGATGAGGAACTAAAACAAATAGATGGGGAGAAAACCAAGCAGATTTATAAAAGCTGGAAAGAAGATTCAGAGTGGCAGGCATCTTGTGAGTACCTCAGGGCCTCCATAACACTTTAGACTCTCCAGGCCAATTCCTTCTCTTAATAAACAATCAAACTAGGAAGCACTTAAAATAGTTGTTGAGAGAATTATTACTAAGTTGTTACACAAAGGTTTATGAGTCTCTTTTTGAACAGTAGTAGAAAGGTTTTCCATTCATCTTTGTACCATCACAGCTGTCGTATCTATTTGATGGAATGGTATATAGCTATGAAAAAACATGTTTTAGAAGAGTGTTTAATGAATTTGGGATATGTTTATATCTTTTTTTTACTTGAAGAAGAAAAAATATTACAAAATAATATGAAAAACATCCTTTGTTTGTTTGTTTGTTTATTTTTAAGTAGGCCTCACATCCAGCATACAACCCAACATGGGGCTTGAACTCACAACCCTGAAATCATAACCTGAGCTGAGATCAAGAGTCAGACACTTAACTGACTGAGCCATCCAGGTGTCCCAAAAGATCCCAATTTTAAAATGCTCGAGTATATGAAGTAAAAGAACTGGAAGGTTATTAACATGTCGACATTAGTTTTTTTGGAGAGGTGCGATATGAGATTTATTTGAATTCTTGTTATCCTGTATTTTTCTAAATTTCAACATTGAACTCAACTTGGTAATAGAAGAACCCAGGAATAATCGGATATATCAGCATCCCTCCCATGCCTGTCACCTAACCCTGACTCCTTTTAGAGGTGGCACCACCAAAGATAGACCTCCTTAGGAAGAGCTCAGTGCAGGTGAAGGCAGAGCAGAGCCTGCTCAGGGATGCTAGGGGAAATGTTTGTTTGAAATAGCTGACCCAGAAAAAGGCTTACCTACCAGGTCATCCCTAGAGACCACTTGAGGGCGAGAACAGGAGTGGCAATGTTTGCAGGATGTGGAGAATACTGTGTTCAGTTCCATAACAGTGAATACCATTAACATGACACTTTTTGTGAAATGAAAACATTTGCAAGATCCAATCACTTCTATGCAGTGAAATTCTAGCGTAATGGAACATTTTTGGCATCTCTTTAAAGCCGAACCTAACAGGGTTTGACCAATAATGGCTGAAGTGCAAATACACACAATAAAAATTAGTCTTAACATCCTGCATTAGAGTCCTTTACCACTGTGTTGCCAAAACAAAAGCAAAACAAAACAACAAACCTCCTGCTTTACAAAGCAACATTAAAAGGTGACTTTGGGATGCTTTCATGTGTATCAACACATTCTCTGTGGTGAGAATCACTTTATTTTATTTTTTTGTTCTGGCGGGCCAATTTACATTTGGTTCAGTTCTCTGTGGACTGAGGAGTGGACATCACCACTCTTTCATCCTGTCCACAGCCAGGAGCCATGGCACTGAGGAGTTCCTCATAGTCTGCTCTTTGCTGGTGACATCCTGAGCTGCGTGTGTGAGGGATGTGACATCACCTCTTTTATTCAAAGACCCCCTGTCAGTTGGAATTCTCACTTGGTCTGTGACTCACCACTTGGTCTTGCCAACTGCAGGAAATTCTAAAACATGTACCCATGTTCTCCATTTCTATCTCCTCTTTTCCTCCTCCTCTTCCTTCTCCCTCTTAGAAAGTCCTAAAACTCCCAGAGAAAGATAGGAAGTCTGCAGTGAACATTGGGCAGTTGTGAATGTGCAAGCCTGAACTATGTGAGTCATAGGTGTTGACACTGATTGTTCATTGTCATCATCAGATGACAGAATCTCCCATCATCAGATGGGAGACTGCTCTCTCCACCAGCTAAGTCTTCTCACCATCTCTGTTGGCTGACCAGGGGCTTTCTCAACATGGCCCCCCCCCCCCCCCGCCTTGTTTTCCTAGTGCGAAAATCCAAAGCAGCTGATGAGAAGAGACGCTCTTTGGCTAAACAAGCGCGGGAAGACTACAAGAGGTTATCACTAGCAGCTGAAAAAGGAAGAAGCGGTGAGGGACCACAAAGCCCCCCAAGCATTCCACAGAAACCAAAAAGACCTCCGCTTCCACCCAAGCCTCTGTTCCTAACCCCAGCGGGATACCCTCGAAAGCCTCTTAGGTAAGAAGCCACACAGATGGCTTTAAGCATAACGGTGGAAACTGGCTGATTAAAGACAAACTGCATGATGAGCCATGGGGAGTGAAGGACCAGCTGGCTGCCTGTGAAATTAAATTCAGCCTCCCCTCCAAGCCTGTCTTCCTGAGATACCTGGTCTGGATTTGTCTCATTCTTATCTATAAATATCCACAGTTGTTGTAATTAAGATACCCAGTAATTTAGGATGCACATCGAGTTCAGTGCCTTCCTATGCTACTATCGCACCCCCACCCCCTTGGGCTGAAGGGGAGCCAATGAGGGGAGAAGCAGAAACAACAGGGGTTTCACCAGTGCTCAGTATTGCTCTTAGTAGGAAACAATATCAAAGTAGGAATCTAATGGCTTGCTGACTTTCATGGCTTCAGTAGAGTTATGTTTTCATTGCTCAGGATTAAAGGTTTGATGGTAATCCTTGTTCTGGGATACAGAGCCAAGCTCATATGTTGACATTTTGGAACTGTTCCTTTGTTGAATGAATACTTTTTTGGTCATAACGGTGCCTTTGCCTCCAAGGCTATGGGAAATTAGAACAATTTGTTTTGTAAAATCCCTGAAGAAAAATACAATGATATCATAGCAGAAACCCCTTTCCTTTATGTTACTTAACTGATTATAAAATTATTTTCTCCTGGATATCATATGATTTTTTTCCGTATTCTAATATGTAGAAAGGTGATAGTTAAAATATACCAGAGAAATCAAATAGTGATTGAGTGAAACAGAACTGTCTGAAAGCCTTGCCTTCTGAAATAAAAACTAAAAATACTTGGTTACAAACATGGAGAAATAAAAAGCAAACAGATCTCTCTTTGCTTGGAGACAGTAGTTATCTTCAGGGCTTTTCCTAAGGGAGATTATGACTTCAGAGGAAATAGGAAGGTGAACCTTTTCCTCTACTATAATTATTTCTACTTAACTAAAAGGTTCCATTTTGTGACTTGGGGACCCGAATTAAATGATCATGGTCTACAAAGTGACAGTTTGGGGAATCATTTTTTTTTCTTATGGACAAAAAACCCAAGAAAGGCAATCAGAAACAGGTATCCTCAAACTTCTGTGACCAGGTCACAAAGGTGTGAGATCCTGCACAGGGTCCTTTCCAGTGCCCAGGCTTGTCTGTGTATTGACCACAGATCCCCAGCAGGGCTGTTTGTGGACCTACCTCTGTTCTCCAGGCTCTTTTGAGGGTGGGACTGTGCCTTGAAATATGTCCTGACCCACAGTATTTTCAGAGCACAGTGTATGCGATTGACAGCAATGAAGGTGGCCTTTAATAAGGGTAATTCTTGTTTTGAGCTGTGCTCAGTTAGCTCATTTTTTCCAACTTAATACACTTGCATGAAATGCTTCTTGTGAGGCAGCCAGAATGGATAGGTTTTGGGCTGGGACAACAGTGATGACCGAGGTCAGCTAGGAGCCAGCCCAAGAAAAGACAGAGATTGGCTGTCCTCAGATGTTTTGCTTAATCTCCATAGAGTTTCCAAAGAAAAAGAACCTAATTTGAAAGCTAATTAGAGCACTCATCATGTAATCTTATGTGTGTGCAGTGTCTGATACCCAAAAAAGTCAACTATTATAGGCTACTTTCTCCAAAATGCTGTTTATGTATATATATGAATATGTACCTGCTTATATGTACATCTAACATATATGTCACATGTAACTCACAGTGACATGTGTTACCATAAAACGCATAAAGAGCCATACATTAATTTACATGACAGGTAGCCCAGTAGTTCATCCAAACTCCTCATTGTTTTCACACTAAATTCTGCTCAAAATTAGTGGGCTGTGGTGTGAGACTTGGAAATATGTTTATTACATTGCAATGTTACTTTTGTAATGGAAATTGACTTACATCCCAGAATTTAAGTTCTGCTACTGAATATATTTCAAAATGATTCTGCTGCTTCTATCTTTTTTTTTTTCTTTTACCAATCTTCATACATTTTTCTTTCTTTTTACTTTATAGTTCTGAGGCTATCTTTAACAGAACCAAACTTCTTCAAAGTTTGGGAGAGAAGAAAGCAAGTCAGGGAGATGGAAACAGAAAGAAGAGAAAGTTTAATAATGAAAATGTTAGGAAGGGAATTTATTTTATTGCATTTGATTTCTTTTGTTTGCAAGGACATGGCCCAAGGAAAGTAGTGCTGGGGTGTATTTCACTTTTTAGTACTTATTTTCTCAAATTTTAACTGGGAGTTAATGGAGCTTTTATTCACATTAAAAATGAATTAAATCTGTGTTTTAACACAGCAGTTGCTCATAGCCATGACTAGCCCCACAGGACCAGAAGGACAAGTGACAGATTTATGTTCCTTCCTATTTTTTTAAAATGTTATTTTTGAGAGCACAAGTTGGGGAAGGGCAGAGAGAGGGGGACAGAGGATTTGAAGTGGGGTCCATGCTGACAGCACCAAGCCCGATGTGGGGCTTGAACTCACATTGTGACCTGGGCCGAAGTCAGATGCTCAACCGACTAACCCCCCCAGGTGCCCCTCTTTCCTATTTCTTGACTAGCCCTCAAGGAATTGTATGATGGCAGTAATTAGGGGTATAACCTCCCCTTAGCTCAGCCCATGTAATTAGATTTTCAAATATATATAATATATACATGATTATATATATATAGGGTATATATGAGTTCTAAAGGCATTGTTTTCAAATTAGTTAAATCTAACTTGAAAAACATTTTCTAAATAACAGAAATCAGGAAGTGACAAGGATGGCATCCAGCTATGCCCAAGAGGAAATCATTCGGTGGTTTAAAGAGGAGCAGCTACCTCTGCGAGCAGGCTACCAGAAAGCCTCAGACGCCATAGCTCCCTGGTTCCATGGTGAGTACAGAGGTTCCCTCAATGGAACCTCATCTGGCGATGCACAGAGCTATGCTAATCCACCAGGAGGGCAAAAAGAATAAAGGCGTCCTTTTATTTGTGCTGCCCAAGAAGAGCCTTTGAAATTATTTTCACAAGGAGTTTTTCAAATGTTTCTCAGTGGGTTGCAAACTCATGATGAAATTAGGAAACAGTGAGTGGTTGTGGTCTCTGCATGTACTATGGGCTAATTTATCACCACAAATGAAATACCGCCGGGTGGGTGGGGAAGACAGTGCCTCCTGGTCACCTACACTAGGGCTCCCCTCAAAAGGCAGTGCCTGTTGTCCACCATCCACCATGAGTCAGATATGCCCTTGGTGTGGTGGGCAAGCATTGGTTTAGCAATCCAAAGGTCAGCTCTCCATTGACAGTTGAGTGACTTTGAGCAAATCATCTTCTTTTTCTGTAGCAAGTCAATTTAGCTAAGCCTCATTTTCCTCATCTATTAAATGAAGAAATTGAACTTTATGATCTTTAACCTAAAAATTCTATTACTTTGATCTATGTTTCCATTAAGTAGTTAAGGCTGCCAGGTGGGTTTGTTGAAGCCTGAGCAGATATTACCTAATAAGCCATTTAACACTAGAAATTTGATTAATTCAAGTCCTCTGTGTACCCAGCACACATTTCACTGACTGCTTAGTTTCTTGGACTTCAAGAAAAGAAGCGGCTTCTTGCCTCAGCTTGCTTCTGTAATGTCTGTGGTTGATTTGGACTAATTGGCTCTATGTACAACAAAAGTGCTTTAAGAGAAAAATAAAGTTCTCTCACAGAGCACACTTGTCGCAAAGGGTATATTGGTTTGAATCATGTTGAATCATGTTTAACTAGTATTCATGTCACACATAAATATATCCACAAAAATAGGCTCCCAACCCTATAATATGGCAAACTCTTCTAAAAAGAAAAATATTATTTGTAATAGGCTTTCTGCTAATGGGCTGCTTTTGCAGTCAGATCATTATGGAACTGTCTAGCTTTCCTTGAAAATATGTGTTCTTTGGCAATTTAGGCCTTAGTAATTGTCCATTCCCTGAGGAGCCCCTCCCCCTCCTAGGACTGAATCGTAAGCCTCCATTCTTCCTATTCTTCTTGGAAGACATTGGAAGAAAGAGGGACATCAGTGTCAAAAGATGAATAGAAAGAACATGGCCAATTACACGTTAGCCCCACTGTTTCATATTGCCCCCCCTTTTTTTCCTTTTTATGATAAGCACTGAGGAAATCAGTACTTTGTAGTTTCTGTGTCATTGGGCAGAAGATGCTGTCATCCCTGATTACAAGGGTGGCAGTTCATTGGAACAGCAGGAAGTGAGACATTGAAAATGTTGGTTCATGTAATTCAAAATCCTGGTACTTTAACAGGCAGTTCTATTTGAAACAGTTGATAAAAGTGAGAAAGACAAAGTTGAACTAAAAATCCAGTTGGAGCTTTGATTAAAAAATAAATTCTTGAGTTTTAATAACTTATTAGTTGCAATTGTTACTTGTTTATTTTCATTTGTATAAATATTTATCATAGTCATAAGCAAAATAAATAATATACAGTATAATGTAAATAATATGATATTAATAGTCATTAAGTCATTATCTTCTGTTTTAAGAAGACAAAATTTCACATGTTTCTATGACAAAGATGGATAATATCTTATATTTTTAAAATATAATTGTTTATTGCTCATGAGCCCTGTTTGAAATACTGGGATGGTAGCTCTTGTATTGGTTTGCCATCTTCCTCCATTATCATGCACTCCATAAACTGCCTTTCTTATGTTACTGTTTTGGTCAGCTAATTTTTCACTGTGGAAGTCACACTTTTACCCTTTTCTTTTAATTAGCTTTAGACAGGATGAGTGGGTAGAGGACAAGGGAAATGAAAACTACTGGATCTCTGGCTTGTGGCGCTAGGCAGAAGGTGGCATGCTATCAGCTGGAAGAAGGACCACAAGAGGATGGGAGATTAAGGGGCAAAAAGAAGAGGGGAGACAATGAGCTTATCTGGGATATGATGAGTTTGAAATGTCTTTGGGGCAGTCATATGAAAATATCCCTTTGGAAATTGAATTGATGGAACAATGTTAGAGATAATATATTGGAGTTATCAGCACCTAATGAAAAGCATGGGAGGGATGAGGTTTTTCAGGAGTGAATTGGGAAGAATGATGAGAGAAGAACAAGGACAAGACCCTGGGGAGCACTAACATGCATTGTGATGGCGCCAGATCTTTGTCTCAGGTGTCCCTCCTCACTTGGGATAATAATGAGATGAATATCTGTCCATGGGGGCCAGTATTAGAGGCAGTAAAGTAGGATATTGTCTGATCTCCTAGATGTAAGAGCTTGGAAAATCCCAAGTACAAGAGAGATCCTGAAATGCAGTGCTGAACTCTACTTCCTGAGCATCTTTTGATGATCTCAAGCACATCTAGATATGCCATCTCCCCACTTCTCTCTCAGCAAGCTTTTTTCAGAGACCACAAGGTCTCAACTTTTACTGGACTTTTGGTACCATTGGTTATGTGGGACTTGTGGGAGAACCCATTGAAGATTCTCAAGTTCTTTTACACTTTTTGTTAGTTTTCCTTAGAGCCAGAGCACATTTCTAGCTTTTACATGGTTCAGTTTGGTGTTAGGACCCAGATGGAATGACTTGCTGACATCTCTTAGCTGCTTCCCATGTTCCTTCCTAGTAGCCTGGAGACCAGGGAGCTGATGTACACACTGGCTCCTTCCCAGGATGCTTTCCCACCTGCTCCCTGGGAAGAACCTCCCTGCAAATTTGTAGGCCACCTTACTACACTGTGCAACCACAGAATCATGAAGAATACTAGGAAGCCCCAGCAGTCTTGACAGAGGGCCTTGTGAAGGAATTTTGTAGTGGGCATTTTTCTAATTTTTTAATATTCTGCAAAGGTAATTCATGTTAGTTAATTTGGAAATGTTATACTCACACTCATTTAGGAGGACTGCTGGGAAAACTACAGTGTATGTCCCAGAGCATCTTGCCTTGCTGCTAAGCCCCTTCAGTAGGAGAAAGTTCTGGACTTTGTCACCACGTGAATAACTAATCTTGATCTCTCATCTGCCCTCCTTTATCAGCCTCCTAACTGGTCTCCATCTTTCCTCTGCTGTCCCCCGTTTTCAACATAATCAAACTGCAATGAGAGTACAACCCAAATTCCTCCCTGGGGCTCACAAAGCTGGCTTGATCCACCCCTGATTATTGCTCCGGCCCCATCTTCGAAGAGCCCTACCTTGATCACTGCTCTCCACCACACGTTTCCCTTCTATCCCTGACACACCACACTTACCCCTCTCTTAAGACCTCTGCAATTGTTTCTCCTGAAGATCCTTCTATGGCCAGCCTCTTGAGGAGCTGACTCACGTGACTGTGGAGGCTTGCTGGGCCCCAAATCTGTTGGGTAGGCCAGCAGGCTGGAGACTCGGGGAAGACTGAGCTCGAGTCCAAAGGCTGAACACTGGCAGAATCCCTTCTTGCTCAGGCAAGGTCAGTCTTTGTTCTTTTAAGGCCTTCAACTGACTGGATGAGGCCTACCCACATTATGGAGGATTTTTCTCCCTTTCCTTATTAAAAAAAAATTTATTATAAACTATTTTGAACAAAAAGTACAAAGGAAGCTATGACTAAGACCAACGCTGTAGCAAATGTTATATCTACTTTCCAGGATACAGTACAGTGAATGTTAGAAGCCATATTTACTTCATATCTATTTTTCTTAATAAGAAATAAAACCTGGAGCACCTGGGTGGCCCAGTCAGTTGAGCATCTGGCTCTTGATTTTGGCTCAGGTCATGATCTCACAGTTCGTGAGATCAAGCCCCATGTCTCTAACAGTGTGGAACCTGCTTGGGATTCTCTCTCTTCCTCTCTGTCTGCCCCTCCCCCACCTCTCTCACTCTGTCTCAAATAAATAAATAAACTTAAAAAAAAAAAAGGAAAGAAAGCCTGAAAGAATTAAGGCACCCTCTTTTACTGCCTTTTTGATTCTGTATACTTCTCTCCCAGGGGGTGAACCACTCTTTTGAAATTATCCTTTCATTTTTATTCTCTCATTTTTGTACTCTCATTATATATGTAGATGTCTGTGAATTTTTATAAAATATATTAAGATATATTGAACGTATACATACTTCTATAAAACATGCAATCTTGTGTTTAACATTTACATGGTATCATGCTATAGGCATTGTTCTGCAACTTGAGTTTTCTCCCAACATTATGTTGTCTGGATTTTTCCTTTTTTATAAATGTAGACTGGCTCATTTATTTTACCTATTGTGCAGTATATTATATGTTATTTATAATACATAAAGTGTAAACATACAATGCTTTATATGTGTTTAATAATTATATTTGTATGTTATTATACACACTATCATTATTCATTCATCCCTTCTATATTTGGTATAGTTTTGTTTTGTTTTGTTTTGTTTTTTGCCATTACAGAAAATGATGTGGGGTATATACTTTTGGACATACCTCATTGTACACATATGTGATAATTTCTTCAGGGTGTGTATCTAAAAGTGGAATTGCTAGGAGGGTAGGTTACATGAATCTTTTTTTTTTTTTAATTTTTTTTTCAACGTTTTTATTTATTTTTGGGACAGAGAGAGACAGAGCATGAACGGGGGAGGGGCAGAGAGAGAGGGAGACACAGAATCAGAAACAGGCTCCAGGCTCCGAGCCATCAGCCCAGAGCCTGACGCGGGGCTCAAACTCACAGACCGCAAGATCGTGACCTGGCTGAAGTCGGACGCCTAACCGACTGCGCCACCCAGGCGCCCCAAATCTTTAATTATATTGAATATTGCCAAATGCCCTCTAAAGTGATTATATGAATCTCTACTCCCACTAGCAATCTTTAAGAGTTTCTATTTTCCTACATACTTACCATGCTTGGTGTTGCCAAACTTTCATTTTCCCTTATTCTTAT